GTAGTTATCCTACAGAGAAAAGAAAATGCACTTGACTTGGAATTAATGTACTGTATGCATTCAAAAGTGCTGAATAAATGTTTTATGGACCCATAATAGTGATTATTATTTAAGTTAAGTTTTGCCATAATCATTTATTTTTCCATAATCAGGCAGCTGAACAACATTGGTAAAAAATGTATACATTATATATATATATATATATATATATTTCTATTAATCATTTTCGGCCATTCGGTTTTCGGCCAACCGTTTCCTATTTTCGGTATCGGTTTCGGCCAAGAATTTCCCATTCGGTGCACCCCTACTTTTAAGTTATTAACATCTGTACGACAATTTTAGATTTCTATATTATTTTGCCTGTTTACTTGTTGTTGTTTGCATGGAACTATTTGAAGACTGGGTGTTATTAAATGTTATCTGGCTATTGCTTTTATCCAAAGCGACCTGCATACACATTTGGGTTGAAGTATCTTTTTCAAAGACACCAACATGCTAACTACAAGGACTGGAACCCTCTAATTGGAAGACCCCTTTCTTACCTGCCATAGTTTTACATGCCACAGTTGATATTACACAAACATCGTTGCACATGGTCAAGTAAGGCAGCTGGATAAGTCAGGATCAATGCAGACTTGCTGTCTGGATGTTTATTTATTTTATTCTATCCATTTATTTAACCTGGATAGTGCCCATAAATTAACATTGCTGTAAATGCACCAGCGAGGAGGCTTTTTTTCATCTGTAGTACCTGAACAAATGTTGCATACTTCCCCTTAAAACACATCAGAATATTACAGAAAATAAAAAGGTATAAATTAAGAAAAACATGCAAAATAGAGTTTCGCAATACAGGACATAGAAGTAAAAAACTAAGACAAAAAAAAGCAAACATACATATTCCACACTATTTGGCTTTTCACATGACTTAATTTGGTGTACCGTCCACATAACTCGCAAACAAAGTGTAAGTGGGTTTGGAATTGGGCCTCTAACATCCTCGAGCTAAACATTCCTCTCACTCTCTTGTCTGTATGACAGCGCATGCGCGAGGAGATGGAGGAGATAACACAGCAGCAGCTGGTCCATGACAAGTACTGCAAGGAGATGATGGGGTTTGGAACCAAGCCCCGACATATCACCCCCTTTACCAGCTTCCAGTCGGTGCAGCCGCAGCAGTCCAACGCGCTGCTAGGCCTGCTGGGATACAGCTCACCGCAGGGCTTCCTCAGCTTTGGAGCCACGCCGGCCCCCGCCAAGACCTCACTGGTGGAGAGTCGCTACTGCCGAGAGCTGATGGAAGAGCACTTCGACCAGGTAGGGTTAACAGAAGAGGTCTCGATTTTCACTGAATGCAAAAGTAGTTTTTTGGTAATTGCTGACACTACTTCTGTTTATCAATATATTTGTGATGGAAAACAAATTGTGTTAAATGCATCATTTTTGACAGTCAAAAAGTTGAAACTTACATCATTTAAATGAGTAATACTGCTACTTAGCTCACAGACCATTGAAGCAGGCTCACACACACAGATGTATGTGTCAAAAACACAATGCCAATGCTGTTTAAGCCCAAGATGAATCAGAGTTAACTTAAGTTTTTATTATGTACCTGATCCAGGTGTGTCACTGGGTGCTGAAATACAGGACCAGTAAAAATCCTCTGATCCAGATGAGCATCCTGAACCTGCTGCCACGCCTGGCTGCCTTCCAGCCTAATACTTTCACAGGTTGGAATAGTTTGTGCAAAAACCCATCTTTTATAATTGTGACATACAGCCATGTATTTTGTCTCAGCATTGTGCCCACTAGGGCTGCAACAAACGACTAATTTGATAATCGATTAATGAAACGATTAAAGGTGGGGTAGGTAAGTTTCAGCAACCGGCTCGAGTGCACTAAAATTTGAAAGTACACAGCCAAAAGAATCCGCCCCTTCCTTCAGACTTCCTTACAGAGCACCTCCTCCGCGAGAGCAGGCTGCAGTAACGTTACATATCAGGCAAAGCTAAACACATCTACGTTAGCAATACTACACAGCCAAAGCAACTCCGATATGGACTCTGGTTTGACTTCTCCTAGTTTCCACTTTCTTTTTGTTCTTAATTTGCTCCGTTACATTTTTTCTTTTGCGACCAGTAGACGATGTTGAACCTAACTCTGCCATGGTGAAAGTGGCCGCCTGTTGCTGGCGAGTCATTGAAGTACTGCTGCAATGCACGCCCAATGACGGCACGCCCAATGAGGGCACGAGATACATTTGTGCGTGCACGAGATGGAAGGCTGACAGACAGTGCGGCAATCCAATCCGTTTAGCAGGCCCGGCTAAACGGATTGGTTGTAGTTTTTACAGTATTACGGGTTCCACAGATGACATTTTTTCATGGATTTTTTGTCAAAGCACTTAAGATATTCATTGCTATCGGGATGTTAAGAGTATTCCATGGAATATAACAAAAAGTGTA